AACCAGGCATCCTGGGTTTGGATTTCAACTTTGGATTTTCACTTACTAGCACATATCTTCTGTGTGTCTCAATTTCCTCATCTGTTAAATTGAGGTAATAATAGCACCTATCTCTGAAAGTTTCTGTGGACTTAAATCATTTAATATAATTAAAGAACTTAGAATAGTGCCTGCCACATAGTAAATGCCCAACAAATAATAACTGTTATTGTTAGTATTTATTGTGAAAATAGAGTAATTTTAGGTAATGACTTTAAATTTGGGGTCACATGTATAGCTCTGCTCTTCAAAGGGATGATCTTTCACAATCACACTTCTACCTTTATCGGAGGTGAGGTTGAGAACATCTTCCCAGTTGCAGTTAATGATCAGTTTTTGGCACAAAAAGAGCACAACCATTATCTCTGTGTTGTTGGAGTATTCATGTCCTGGACACCAGTGGTAGATGCTGGAGATGTAAAGATGATTTGGAGATGTCTAGGTCAGGGAGACGAAGATGTGGCCAGAGTACCCCAGAAGTGATTTCCTATCCCAGAGCTCTCACTGAATGCCTGTGACCCTCTGGACTTTACTTGTCAACTGTAAAATGACACTTTCTGAGTTTTATTGGAGAAGTTGAGTACTCTGTAGGAGAGAGACCTGCTGATGGCAGCTTAGCCTCTATCGCCTTGAACAGTTTGCTCTTGACCCCATATTTGTATTTCTTCTCAGCAAAACAGAAATCCTGCTATTAACAGGAGATTAGCTATTTTTAACTTGTTTATGCTCTTTGGGGAAATATTACCTCCATCCCCATCCCCACTCCAAGTGAATGATCTTACCGGCAGTGTACAGCACTCTCTCTAAGGTAAGTTTTATAAATTTTGGCTAGCCCACCCATTAATCTGGCTTTGTTTCCATATAAGATTTGGTAATCATCTCAAATTTTACAACAGAGGTTTTTAACTGGTATGCTGCAAAAATATTTAAAACATGTAATACCTGACTATTTAGTCAGGGGCACTGACCTCTTTTCCCTTAGATTGTCAAATAAAAAAAATGACAACAACCAACACAACAATAGCCCCCCAGTGTGAATGAATCAAAATTATACCTATTTTTTGGTCAGATAGGCAAAAAGTAGATTTTTTGGTGTGCCACAGAATTTTAATAATTAGGTTTATGTGTACCATGAGATGAAAAAGGTTGAAAATTGCTACTTTACACTACTGATTTCCCTTCTCCCTAAACTTACCCCTCTCCTAGTCAACCTGTGAATAAATCTGTTTGTCTCCATCACTGTTGCTGCTCCCCTAGTCTCAGTATCCATCATTTTTCCTGAAATGGACTCCTCCTATCTGGTCTCCCCATTTCCATTTTACCTCTTTACAGTCCCTTTTCCCATAGAGTAGACAGAGTGATCCATTAAAAGCATAGAATCAGATAATATTACTCTTGTTAAAACCCTTTTTGCACTTGGAATAAAGCCTGAATTAATTGTTACTACCTACAAAGCCCTGCAATTATGTCCCTTGCTTACTCTTTGTTCTAATTGCTTGCTATGCTCTCTCTCATTCACTTTGCTCTAGCTGCATTGCCCAGACAGATCCAAATTTCTTGATCCTGCCTTCATGCCCTTGCACAAGTTATTTCCTCTGCCTGGAATATTCTTCTCCAGAACATGGTTGGCCCCTCTGTTATTTAAGTTTTGGATTTCACCTCATCCAGAAGTTTTTCCCAATCATCCAGTGTAATGTAACTCATGTTTTATTGTTGCATCCTGCTTTATTTTCTTTGTAATATTTAGCAATCTTAAACCATCTTTATATATTTGTCTCTTGTGTGGTGTTTTTTTCTTCCCTTGCCAGAATTTAAGTTCCACAAGACTGTAGATCTTGTCTGTCTATCCACCTTTTATTCCTGACAATTAGAACAATGTTCAGTAAATCTTATCTAAATGAAAAATACAGTGAATGGATCACTCAGAGGGAGAAATGTACTTTTTTCACACCATGACGTAGCTGGAACCAGCCGTTCAAATAGTTAAAAGAGGAAGGTGAAGGGGTGTAGCACAAAAACGCTTTCCCAGTCCTGGTTGAAACCTAAAGTAAATAACATAATATGTGGCCCAACAGTGAAAATAACAGTTCAGAAACTAATTGCACATCGAAGAAGGATGACTTACTCCAACAAACTACAGTCAGGTTTCTTTTGCTATTAATAACTTCAGAGATAGATAATTTGATATTCAAGCCCCCCAAAACACTTAATTATGAATGTTTTTTTAAAAAGTTATTTTAAAGCATTGTTGGTTGAATATAAGAAAAAATTCTTAATGTTTCTTGTAGGGTCATTTCTATCATTAGATTATGCTTTATATTTTGTAATGCTATAGTTTATGTGTTTTCCAATAACTACTGTGCTATGGGCTAGACAAGATTATACTATAAATAAAATGTTTTACTTAATAAAATGTGCCGTGCAGAATTTTTTATATTGAAAGGTAAAGGAGAATGTGTTCTTAAAACCTGTGGAAAATTAAAATATGATAGTATGCAATTACTAGTGTAACTTTGTTATGTAGTTTATAAACTGGTGTATTTGTTTGTTTGTAAAGATAAAGAGGAATAACCAGCCTAGTGATTTCTATTAAATACATCTGAGTTAATGTTTCTGTTTGGTTCTTTTTCGCATTCAGATAGTTTTGGGAAAAAGTAATAGTAAATCTAATATGAGGTCTGACAGATTTTTTTTAGAGCCAGCATTTCTTAAATTTATTTTCAAATGACTGTTGCCCTTCCAACTGGCATCTAGGAAAGTTGTACCTTTAGTCTGACAATGCTCCCATTCCATAAAGTACTTTGTAGGTTATATGTATATATATTCTTGTTTTACTTTATAAGTTAAAAAACCTCATTTAAAAAAGAAAAATTAAATGAAAGCCTATAATCTCAATCTTCATATTGATATTTTACTAATTTATGAAGCCAGTACTACTATTACCAGTCGAAGGTATGACTTGTAACATCATGAAAAATATCTTGTAAAGTGAATCTGTATAGAGAACAAAGTTGTATAACTTTGTGAAATAATAGATTAAAAAAGTACCAAGCTGCTGGACCTGGGTAACAAACTCACCACCCTTTAAAATTTGCTTTGTATGCAAACAAGACATACAAATGGCCAGGAGACATACGAAAAAATGCTCCACATCACTAATCATCAGAGAGATGCAAATTAAAACGACTGTGAGGTCTCACCTCACACCTGTCAGAATGGCCGCCATCAACAAATCTTCCAACAACAAGTGCTGGCGAGGGTGTGGAGAAAAGGTACTCGAGCATACTGCTGGTGGAAATGCAGACTGGTGCCACTGTGGAAAACAATATGGTGTTTCCTGAAAAAAAGTAAAAAATGGAATTGCCATTTAACCCAGTGATTCCACTTCTAGGAACATCCTAAGAAGCTTGAAACACCAATCAGAAAGAATACATGTACCCCTATGTTTATAGAAGCACTATTTACAATAGCTGAGATCTGGAAACGGCCCATGTGCCCATCAGTAAATGAGTGGATAAAAAAGCTGTGGTACATTTATATAATGGAATACTATGCAGCTGTAAGAAAGAGAGATCTCTTACCCTTTGAGATGACCTGGAGGAACCTGGAGAATATTATGCTAAACGAAATAAGCCAGTCAGAGAAAGACAAGTATCATATGATCTCACTTATTAGTGGAACATCATGAACAAAATAAGCTGTCCACCAAGAGATCCAGAATCATGGAAGCAGGAAACAGACTGACAAACCTCAGAGGGATGGGGTTAGGAGGGGTGGGAAAAGATAAACCAAAGAATTTGTATGCATATATACACAACCAATCAACATGGACATTAGGCTGGGGAAGGCAGGCTGCGGGTGGGTGGGAGCGGGAAGGAGGGGGCCAGTGGGGGAAAATGGGAGACATCTGTAATACTTTTTTTTTTTTATCCTCACCTGAGGACATTTTGCATTTATCTTCAGATAGAGTGGGAGGGAGAGAGGGAGGAAGAGAGAGAGAAACATCGATGTAAGAGATACATCAAGTGGTTGCCACCCACACGACCCCAACGGGGACCGGGGACAAACTGCAACCAAGGTATGTGCCCTTAGCAGGAACCAAACCTGGGTCTCTCTGGTCCGCAGGCTGAGGCTCTAACCACTGAGCAAAACCGGCCAGGTTTATAATGCTTTCAACAATAAAAAAATGTTTTGTTTTGTATGGAAACAGCGCAGTGCACTGTGCTCCTGCAGATGTAAGTTGTGGAGCGCTGAATCCAGAGGAAGCGCCTTACCTTCAGGGAAAGAGAGAAAACCACTTGGTCCTGGAAAAAAGCCCAAACTGGGCTCTTTTTAGTATTAACTGAGTGAAAGCTAAGAGTCTATATTTAAAATATGACCATAAAGCTACTCTTGGCATCAAAGACTACAGACCTCTTTGGATGGTATATTTATTTTAAAAAGGGGATATAGTTCTTTTTTTTTTTTTTTATCCTCACCCGAATACATTTTTCTCGATATTTTGTTCAGATAGAGTGGGAGGGAGAGAGAGAGAGAAACATCAATATGAAAGAGACACATTGCGTGGCTGCCACCCACATGACCCAACCAGGGCCGGGGACAAATTGCAACCGAGGCACTTGCCCTCAGTGGGAACCTAACCCGGGTTTCTCCAGACCACAGGCCAACGCTCTAACCGCTGAGCCAAACTGGCCGGGGCAAAAAGGGAATATACTTCTTGAAGGGAAATAGCTGAAGCAATAATGTTGGTGTTTGTTGTTAGAAGGCATATAAGTTTTGTTGTGAGATAAATGGATTATTTTAGGGCAAGCCTTGCTGTCTTGGCCTCCATGGGCTTTTATTTTGTTCTGTAGGCTAGTGTTTTAATCTTTTATTTATAAAGATCACCTTTTGTTTAGTTTATTAAATATCTTAAATATTTGGGATTAAAAAAATACATTTTCTTTTTCTTTTTTTAAAAGCTGCACGTCATTGACTCCTGGACCCAACTGTGACCGATTTAAACTGCATATACCATATGCTGGAGAGACATTAAAATGTAAGTAAATGATGACTGTTTTACTGAAAATGACAATTACAGAAATCATTTTAGGGTTTAGTTCTTCTGGGGATGATCCATATATTTAATTAATATGCTTATGCTTCTGTTTCTTGACTTATCAATTTGAGGTATTATCTTTTGACTTCCTGCTCTGATACATGAGGCATCAGCCTATTTTCACTGTACCCTTTATCTCTCTCTTCTTCTCCTCTTTAATGTAATTATGTCATCACTGTTGGTTCCTGTGTTTGTTACCCTGTAGCTTTAAAACATTTTTTTAAAGGATCATTTTAAGTGTTGTGTTGTACAGTTAAATGAACAATCCATAAAAATTCTTAGTAAATGCCTGGCACAGAGTTAGTACTGTTATTACTTAAGAACAGTTTCTCTACAGTGACAGTGAACAAATACTCAGTAGGCTTTTATTTAGTTTCCCATTAACCATAGTGTGTTTTGGCTCCCCATGTTACAAGATGAAGATATTTGCCCCTGTTCTTTCTTTCATTCCTCTTCCTTCACCGCCCACCTTTTTTTTCCCCTGTTATTTTCTTTTTGCGTTGTCAAGATTGATAACTTACTATCTATTCTAAATCTGTAATTGTCTTTTGGTCTTTGTCTATAACTTGCTTGAATGATGACTCTGCAGGCCTACGCCTGCACAGTTACCCCTATGGGATTTACCTTCCTTATCCTCTTGGATTTGACCTTGTTTTGTAGAATCTGTGTATTGAGAAACCTGTTTTGTAGAATTATGTCTTGGTAAACAGGTTACCCTTTATCTTGCTGGATCATGGTCTCAAATAATTTGCTCAGATTCCACTTCTCCCTCTACCCTTCCACCTGTTCTGTAGATCTCTTCTGATAATTTTTATTACCACAGTCATAAATAGGTATCTTAATTTCCAAGAACTCTTTCTTGCTTTTACTCTCTGTTTCTGTCACAACATCTTGTTCTTATTTTAATGATACAGATCTTAAAAGTTTTCAAAGGATATATAAGTTTATTTTTTAAATTTTCTCCTGTTTTCTGTATTATCTTAATTTCTCCCAGGGATTATATTTTTGTTTATCATTCTTTCCCCCCCTCTGTTATTCTATAGCCTTTTCTCAAATAAAAGGTGATTTTTGGTTGTCCATTTATATTTAAGACAGATTTTGTTTGGGACTTCTGTGTAGGCTGGCCTTACTGAGTGTGTGGGTTAATGGTGGGCTAGCTGTTAGCATGAGGAACCCCTACATGTCATATTTTAGAGTTTAACTGTTGTAACTCTCCCTCAAATAGTTTGTTTTGTTTCTTTAGAAAATTCCTGTATATTTTTTCTGGGGTTACATATCTGGCCATCATGACGTTTTTTGTTTTGGTGGGGGGAGATTGGTATTGTGGACGAAAAAAGGGGTTCTATGAAAAGTAACCTTATAGGGTAATCTGATTGTAAATTCCTAAGTGGATAGGTCATGGTGGGTATTCATGCCCTAGGCCTATAACTTCTTTTTTTTAAATTTTTTTTTGTTACAGATGTTTCTTATTTTTCCCCCATTGACACCCTCCTCCCCTTCCCCCCAACCCCATCCCCAACTTTGTTGTCCATGTTCATTGGTCATGCATACATGCATGTAAGTTTGGTGGTTTATCTCTTCCCCCACAAACCCCCCCCCTCCTCTGAGGCTTTTCAGTCTGTACCTCACCTCTATGTATCTGGGTTAATTTTGTTCAGCAGTTTGTTTAGTTCATTATATTCCACAAATAAGTGATCATGTGATATTTGTCTTTCTCTGCTTGGCTTGTTTCGCTTAGCATAATACTCTCCAGGTTCTTCCATGCCATCTCAAAGGATAAGAGATCTTTCTTTCTTACAGCTGCATAGTATTCTATTGTGTACATGTATCACAGCTTTTTAATCCATTCATCTACTGATAGACACTTGGGTTGTTTTCAGATCTTAGCTATTGTAAATAATACTGCTATGAACATAGGGGTACATATATTCTTTCTGATTGGTGTTGGCCTATAACTTCTTTATTTTATTTATTAAAACAATTTTTTAATTATAGTTGATATACAGTATTAGTTTATATTAGTTTCAGGTGTACAGAATAGTGGTTAGACATTTATATAATTTACAAAGGAATCCTCTCCTCCCTCCCTCCACCCCATCACACAAGTCTAGTACCCACCTGGCACCATACATAGTTATTACAACATTATTGACTATTTTTCCTGTGCTATACTTTATATTTCTATGACTGTTCTATAACTACCAATTTGTATTTCTTTAATAATAATTTTTTTTTAAATCCTCACCCGAGGACACTTTTTGATATTTTGGTCAGATAGAGTGGGAGGGAGAGAGAGAGAGAGAAAAACATTGACGTGAAAGGGACACATCGAGTGGTTGCCACCCATATGACCCAACCAGGGCTGGGGACAAACTGCAACCAAGGTACGTGCCCTTAGCGGGAACCGAACTTGGGTCTCTCTGGACCTCAGGACGATATTCTAACCACTGAGCCAAACCGACCTGGGTGCAATTTGTACTTCTTAATTCCTTTACCTTTCTCACCCAGTTTTCCAACCCTCTTCCCTTCTTGGCAACCGTTAGTCTATTTGATATATCTATGAGTCTGTTTCTATTTTGTTTGTTCATTTATTTTCTTTAGATTTCACATATAAGTGACATCATATGTTATTTGTCTTTCTCTAGCTGACATATTTCACTTAACATAATACCCTCTAGGTCCGTTCATGTTGTTGCAAATGGTTAGATTTCGTTCTTTTTTACAGCTGAGTAATATTCCTTTGTGACATATGCATACCACCTCTTCTTTACCCAATTGTCCATTGACGGGCACTTAGGTTGCTTCCATATCTTGGCTTTTGTAAATAATGCTGGGTCTATGTGCATTTGAAGAGAATCTATATTCTGCTTTGGGATGAGATGCTCTAAAAATATCAATTAAATTAATATGGTTTAAAGCATCATTTAGGCCTATAATTGCTTTAGTGAAAGGTTTTAAGCCAGCCCTGTTCATTGTTCTTGTGCATCTAGGTTAACACATCTTTGAAATACCTCTAAGGGGATATTCATCCTTAGGAGAGCCCATAATCTTGTTAACTGTCCTGTAACCCAGTCCCCTCTTTGCTTTCTTCAGTCTTCCTTATGTCCCCTCCTTAATTTCTAATGCATAAAAGAAGCTGCAAAACTATTATGTTGTGGGAACATTTTAGATCTTGCTCCCTGGCGTATGTTGTCAGTTTGATTCAAATAAACTCTTATAAAAATTCTCCACAGGTTTGGGCATTTCTTACTTTGACAACAAACCGATTATTCCCTTTGGAGCTTTTAATTATAAATCTCCCTGTTCTCAGCACCATGTCTCATCCTCGCCTCTCCTTATACCGGATGACTGCAAGTTTTTATGGATTTACCAGGACAGATGGCTTCCTCCTCATTGGTAGCCTCTTCCTCACATTATTGCAGCCAGAGCTTTCTCTGCCCTGTCTCATCAAATATTGCTCTTCCATCTGCACTCTGCCTTCTAGGAATTTGTTGAAATGTCTCATCTACTGATCACTACTCTCTCCTCTTCCTCTTCACTCATGTTGTTTTGGATTTTTATCTTGCTGTTTCTTTACTATCATTTAATAAGAGGGTGGGCCTTGCATTGATCATAGTATACAACTATATCTAAAGTTTCTCATGAAATCCCATTGAAACGTTACTGGGTTTAGTTTATAATTTTAACCAAGGTTGAATCAAACTATTTGGAACTTATGATAATTTTTATTTCATAGGTTTAAACTCAGTGAAGTTAAAGATGGAGAGGCTTTTGTTAATTAAATTATATCTCTAGTCCCTAGCATAGTAAAGATATTCAGTTTAGTATTTGTTAAAGAAATGAAATGAATTCATGTATAAATTAATGAATCTTAGCGTTCAGACTTTTGTTGGTTGAAGTATAGTGTTATAGAGAATGTGACATTCTGTTAGTTGTATCTGTCTTTTGCCAACAGAAACTCAATTTTTAGAAGTTATTTATTATACAATGAATTTGTAATTGGAACATTGCTCTTAACAGCTCAGAAAACAGAAAGGACATACAATACTTTGAAGACTTGGAGTCTATCAATTTTGTCTTTATATGTTTTACTTTACTTTCTTAAAGCAGATTAGTGAAAATAGCATGTAACTAAATTTTATATTTTAGAATATTTTATATGTTAGAAAACAGTTTTCTATAAATGTTTATCTGTGAATAAAGGAAATTTTGTGCAGTTAATGATAATGAGAATGGAACACAAAAGGGAGGGTATATTTCTACCCGTGAATTCGTGAATTGATTCCCACAATAATTACCCACATTCAAAATGAAATAATTAAAGTAAAAAGGACCAGAAGATTGCAGTACATTAGGAATGAAGTTATTTTTTCCTCAGCTCTTTTAATGTGAAGAGACAACTCTTCATTGTTGGGACAGTTATCAGTTTGTGTGAGATTCTTATGGAAAATAGCAAAGGCTATCTGAATTTAGGAGAAGTCCTTGAATTTCATGCCTGTAGAAGAGACAACTGGAACTTAGTTAAAGAGGATTGGAAAAGTGAATCTTCAAAGACCAAGGTTGATTTAAAAAATATATACATGTTAAAGTTTAGGATGGTGCCGCGAAAATTTACCAGTTATAGCAAAATTTACAGAGGAAGATCAGTGAGCTACATCTAAATGCATGTTTATAAAAATGGCCACCCTAGTCACTATCTACAGCACTTAATTCTTGAAGAAATTGTGTTTATGTTTTTGTGTACCCTATTTAAACAGGGTAGGGAATAGGCTGTTTTGCTCATATTTTACTTCTAATCTCTGGTGTATTGCCTGGCATTTAGAAAGGCTCAGTAAGCATTTGTGGAATGAATGAACCATGTTCATTCTCTGGATTTGGCAATGATGAGGTTTGATGAGGAAGTGACAGAAGTCTGAAGTATTCTCAATTTTACAAGTTTG